AGCTTTAATCTAGCTGAGATTCAAAATGCTGGTGCATTTCATATTTAGCGATGTTCTGAAGGCTGCTTAGTGGAGGTCTATCTTAAGTTTGTCACAGTGGCAGCCAAATGCTGATCAGTCCATGACATCTATAATGTGTTTTGGGCTGCTAGTTTAGATATGCGCCACTGAAGTGGGGGTAAAACACATTACCTCAGTCCCAGTAACCCAGTTCATTGATCTGCAGAATTATTTGATGTCAGGTATGTGCCATTTAAGTGCATCATTTGTATCTTTTCAGAGAGCATGCTTGGATTGTTATGAAATATTAATCAGCAGAAACAAAGAAACAATTGTCCATATTTAGCACTTCTTTCAGAATGATACCTTGACTGATTCTTATTTGGAGGCTTTAAACAGTCGAGTGAATGCTAAGTGATTGTATGACTCTGCATACTGTTTCTCTACTTGCTTAACCACTTGTACAGAGAGGAAATTTAAACACCCGCTTGAAGAAGCTAGATGAGAAGGAAGACTTCAGTGCTATAATCCTGGCTGCTGCTGGATTGAAGAGAATGGGCTGGGAGAATCGCATTGGTCAGGTGAGTGTCAAAGTAAAAAATCCCATTCTCTTCTAGGCTATTGCCTGCTTGATTTTCAGACCTTGTGATTGTCCCATCAGAGGTGCACATGCAATCTGCTGAATCCATTGCCGTGTTAGCTTGATGTTATTTGCTTTAGGAAGGGTTTAATTTTGCTCGTTTCTTTTTGTATACAGTTACAAAATGCAGTACTTTTCGTGTTACAGGAACAGTTTGTAATATGGTAACATCATAGCATTTCATGTGTGCAGTGAAACAGTGCATGTGTAAGATTTTTTCTGATTAACTAATGAATAAAATATTACTGTCAATGTGAGGAATAGTACCTTATCCTACTTTTTGAGATGGAAATGCTGAGGCATGGGAAGGGGGAGGTGATATTTCCCTTGGGCACAAATGTGGTGTTAGAAGTATGCATGGAGTTCAGTTCTTCCTTTGTATATTCTAAGAAGTGCAACATGACTTAACTCTGTTTTTACTTTTTTCCAGCTCCTGAGCCCTGAAGATTGTCTGTATGCTGTGGGACAGGTACGTTACCATTTTTGTACTTCAAGCCTGACTGCATATGGAAAGCCAGCAGCAGTGTGATGTCAGGTGGTTAACTGTGGCAACCAAGTACTTCTGATGTATTTATTGCCAAAGAAGAATTACAGTGATCTCTGTTGCAGCCTCTTACTCTCCTTGTTCAGCGTGTGAAGAACATTAAGTCAGCTCCGTGAGTCTGTGTAGTGGGGTTTGATTTCTATCAGCCACAGAAATAGTAAACGGTAAGGTAATGTGTGGTGCAGCTACCCTGGGACAACTCTGCAAGTATGAGGCAGGGCTATTCTTGTGCTATGCTGGGCTATCCGTACAAAGCCGCTGCAGTGTCGGTTCTGTGGCACTCCCTTCCATGCAGTGTCCTGACTCACTGGCTGTGCGGAGCTGAAATGCCTGCCTTGGGGCATGTTGTTAGCGTTCTTGTTTCTAGGCAAATTGTTCCAGCCCGTGCTGGTCATGTAGCTGAACTTATACACAGTGTTGCATAGTTGGTATCAAATTTGTGAAACCTGAACTGGATGTGCATTTTGTAGTGCAATCATTATTGTAATGTAATGCAGTTGTTTCCCAATCTGGATGAATTCCTGGTTGATCAACAGCTGTAGCTGTTGCTGTTACTTACAGGTTAGAAACCGTAAACAGTGACGGCTTTGAAGTTATCCCATGACAGTACTGAAGGTAGTCAGCCAGATGAAAGTGAAAAATGAGCCAGAAATAGTGTTTCTTGTCTTTGTCATGTACTATACTTTTTTTTTCTTGTCTTGTTTTCCATTTGGGAAAGAATTGGTTTGTGATTGCTGTTATCTTCAGACAAGGTTGCAGAACTCACGTTTATCCAACTTTCTTATGCTGTTGTGACAGCAGAGCAGGTGTTTGCATATATGTAGTCAGAAGAGGGATATGGTCTGAAGTTGAGCTAAGGAAAAGATGTCAGGTGACTGTATGATCTTCAGTACTTGTCTAAGTCCTGAGTTTCCCTTTACAGCAGTTGCTTCAAGATGTCTTGCAACCAGTTGATTGTTTCTTGAATAATTTCTGTAAAATCTCTGTACTTAAATACTGCTCCCTGAGTGAAATGCATCCAGACTTCTGAGTTGTGTTTCGTGACCAATGCTGAGTGCATACAGACACTTAAGTTGAGGAGTTCTGTTATTACTGTTGTCTTACAGGGGGCTTTAGCGGTGGAGGTTCGAGCCAAAGACCAAGAAACGCTGAATATGGTATCTGTCCTGCATGATGGAGAAACTGTATTATGCTGCATTGCAGAGAGGGCTTTCATGAAACATTTGGTACGTGTGTTATCCTTGCCCTTCTGCTTACAGTAACAAATACTGCTCTGTGCAACGGATGGCGTGGTGTGGGAAGACTGTTACACCTGCTAAGTAGGGAGAACTTGTGAACTGGGAAGTGCCTGAACAGAAATAGGCGGAACTGTGTGCAGCATATACTTTTCAGAAACCTCTGCTTTGAATGCACCGGGAGGAAACTCAATAGCAACGTCATTCTGTTTTCAGGAGGGTGGCTGTAGTGTCCCCGTTGCAGTTAACACCATGCTGAAAGATGGCCAGGTGAGGAATATTTTGTATGTATATGGGATTATTTATGAAAAACTGTTCCAGTGTGTGCATGTTCTCTGAGGTTCAGCTCAGCAGATGTCTTCACAGCTGAGTAGGGCAGATAAGGGTTATTGTCCAAATCAGGAGTATGAGAAAGCAGTTCTGGTTACAGAAGCTGAGTCCTAGAAAACACCCTTACTGTGATAATTAGATTTTTTTCATCCTCTCATTTCAAAGTGTTGCCCTGAGATCTCAAAGTCTGCCTTTTGACTTGGTAAAATCAGTGCATTTATACAACAGATTATGAATTAAGTATGTAGAAAGCTAGAAAGTATTCGGTTTCTTTCTTGGGAAGATGCATCTTCCCTAACGAGGATTATTTGCATTACAGTTGTATCAGACTGGCAGTCTGATTAGACTGACTGCAGAAGTGTTGCTGTCTAGGTTGGTTTTGTGGTAAACTCTTTCTGTCTTTCCAAGTTGTATTTGACAGGTGCAGTCTACAGTTTGGATGGATCTGATAGCCTGAAGGAAACAATGCAGACCAGCGTTAATTATCCACAACAGGTATGCAATGCATGTTGGACTCAAAATTCAAACCTATAGCTGAATGATAAAACCAGATGTTTTGAGATCAAAAGGTTCTTCAGTTTCAGGTGTTTTTCCCTTGTTCTGCTAATTGTTCTGAGAGTCCACAGCATACAGTTCTAAAGGCTATTCAGACCACAGATTCTAGGTGGATATTTTTCAGTGAGCCAGCAGTGTGCCCTTGAAGCCAAGGAAGGCCAGTGGTATCTTGGGGTGTGTTACAGAGAGCGTGGCCGGCAGGGGAGGTTCTCATACCTTCTGCACTGCAGGGGCCACATGTGGAACAGTCTAGTTCTGGGCTTCTCAAATCAGAAGACATAGTGAACTGCTGGAACAAGACCAGTGGAGGGTTGCAAAGATGATAGAGGCCTAGAGCATTTCCATTATGAGGAAAGACTTGGAGACCTGGGGCTGTTTAGCCTGGAGAAGAAAGGCTGGGAGGGGTCTTAGCAATGCTTATTAATACCTAAAGGATGAAAGTCAAGCAAGCAGATGAGGCCAGGCTTTTTTTTTGTTTGTTTTTGGTGGCGCATGGTGGTAGGACAAGGGACAGTGGGCACAAACTAGTACACCCAAAGTTTCTTACAGATATGAGGAAGAAGGGTGACAAACAGGTTGCCCAGAGAGGTGGGGGGGGAGTCTCCTTTGCTGGAGTTATTTGAAACCTGTCTGGATGGTTTCCTGTTCAATCTGCTCTAGGGAAGAACCTGCTTTCAGGGGAGTTCAATTCTGTGATATCTAGTTTCATGCAGACTTATTACCCACTCCTTCCCACAGCCTTACACTGATGTGTTTATTCTTGCAGAATGAAGATGGACCGAATGATGATGTGCAGCATGTTGGCATCACAGCCAAAAATGTTCCTGGTCAGGCCCAAGAAGCTGCAGAGAATCTTGGTATTGAACTAGCTAGTTTACTTCTGAGCAAGGGAGCTAAGCACATCCTTCACGTGGCAAGACAGCTGAACGATGCCTGCTAGGCCCCCAGTGAGAGCAGCAAGATTGTTACAATTCTTGCTGTAGGCTTCACAGCTACTCAATCAGCTGTTGGAGGAAGGGGGTTTTTGTTTTTAAGATTTGCACCAGCCTTGTCTGACATTTGGGCATAAAATACTTGAAATACCTAACTAACTTGGAGTTATGTTTATTGAAGTTTACCTAAGTTGCAAAATCTCTCTGAAACTTAAGTAAGTTTTTATTGTTAGGACAGATGTAGTAGTAATTGTTCTCCTATTGTGTTTAGTAGCAAAGCATCAAATACAGATGATAGTCAGACCAAACAGTGGTGTTACTGCAGTACTGTGCTGTGCTGACAATAAGAAGTATTTTCTGTAGTCACTGAACTTGGGAAATTGCGGATTATTCGGGCCTGTGATTTTCAGAAATGAAGGAGACTAGCATTAGGTTCCCAATGAATTCCTCATGGGGAATTTACCACAGATGCTATATTCATAAGTTTTGGCTACAGAGTTGCTTTAAGTTATTAAATACAACTTTGTCACTTTTTCATAGTGAACTAATAGGTAGCTGCTTAGCCAACTTATCCCATGTAGATGTAGTATGAGGATATGCATTGATATACAATAACTGGTAACCTTTGACTTGCAGAGTAAGAAACTTGCCTTTCCCTCTAGGCTGTGAGCTATTTCCCTGTTCACGGCTGAACTGTCGTTTTGCACTATCATGTTGCAGTGCCTTAAGGAAACATCAAAATAACCTATTTATAGGGTTCCAGTTTGGAGATGAAGCATTGTTTATTTTCTGTGCAACATCTGCTGAATTTAACAGCAGAGAAACAGTCACATTATAAGCACCCAAGAGTAAGTCTGTTCAAAGAACGTCACCTATTTACAGTTTCTGTAACTGAACTCGAGCAGCCAATGCCGGCTGCTGGTGCTTCCTGCCTGCTCCGCAGCGCGGCCTAGCGCTTGCTCCTCGTAGTTGGCCTCCGGGCGTGGAGCTGCAGTGCCTTGGGCCCTGCGCCGGTATTTGGATGCAGCCCCCGCCTCTCCCCTCCCGCGGATCGCAGCTCTCCCAGTGAGCATTGGAGTGGCCCTGAAAAGGGCCTTTGTGTGGTGCTTGGGGGGAGGAGGGGGGAGGAAGGGAAGGAGCCCGGCCTAGTACTCCTGCGACTGCTGCCCGCTGCCTTTCTTGCCGGCCTTGGCAGGGCTCGCAGCGCTCCCACCCGTCTTCTTGGGCAGCAGCACGGCCTGGATGTTGGGCAGGACGCCGCCCTGCGCGATGGTGACACCGCCCAGCAGCTTGTTGAGCTCCTCGTCGTTGCGCACCGCCAGCTGCAGGTGGCGGGGGATGATGCGCGTCTTCTTGTTGTCGCGGGCTGCGTTGCCCGCCAGCTCTAGAATCTCGGCCGTCAGGTACTCCAGCACGGCCGCCAGATAAACGGGTGCGCCAGCGCCCACCCGCTCCGCGTAATGTCCGCGCCGTAGCAGCCGGTGAACACGCCCGACGGGGAACTGCAGCCCGGCCCGAGAAGAACGAGATTTGGCCTTCGCTCGGGCCTTACCGCCACTTTTGCCTCGGCCAGACATGGCGTCTCGCAGCGGACCGAGCACCACCCCGAACTCTCAGCAGCTCTGCGGCGGGACGAAGGGAGGACGCCTCCACCCGTCTTTTTATAACCTCCCGCACAGTAGGGCCCCGCTCATTGGACAGCACAAGGCCGCCTCGCTATTGGTGCTCTGTCGCGTGAACCTCCTCTCTGACTGGCCGCCTTTGCGCCCGCCCCCACTCCTTAGCGCTTACCTCCTATCTAATGGCGACGGCGACAGACCAATCAGAAGACAAGGCGCCAAATTCGTACCACGCGGTAGCCGTTGGCGCTCGCAGCCGGGTACGGTAAGATGGGGCAGTGCGGCGCCGGCCGGGCCCCGCGGTCCGACTCGCCGGCGGAGCTCGGCAGTGTGCTGGCAGGGGGCGTGGCTGGGCTCAGCAGCGGCGCCTCGGATGGATGTCTGGAGCTACGCTTTCAGGTGGCGATTCTATGGTGTCGGATAACGCTATCTAAATAAGAATTCGGATAAAGAAAATCATAACCGGCAAATCTAAGTGGTTCTTATCGATACTTTGTACAAAAAGATGCTGTGATCTGTACTCTGCTAACCGGTCCCAGAGGTGCTCTGATCTGTGAAGAGCACAAATGCTAGACACTCAGGGAAAAAAAAGCTCGTAGGATCTGCTGCAGAAATTTCTGGCATTGAGCAGGGCAGCAGAGCACAGCACTGTACTGTGGAACCTTGTTTCACTGCACGTCAACATTCTCAGGACAGAGAGCTGAAGATGAAAGGGTATTTCATGTTATTTTATTCTCAGAATGCTCTGAGTTGTGGGTATGATTTATAATGTATTATTCTATAGATAAACCTGAATTAGCCAAGAAGGCATTCTGGTTCATCTGTTATGCTGTAGAGTCTCACAGAAATTGCAGTTCTTATTTCTTCTCTCAAGGAACAGCGACAAGTTTCTTAAACTTCAATGTCATTTCTCCTGCTTTCCCTAAACACTCTGTGTAAAGATTTGTGTTGCTTATTTCCCCTCTGAAAGGTATTCTCAGTAGCAAGGATGTCCAAGTAGTGTTGACTGTCTTCTGTCAGCAGAATTAGACGGAAGAGCTCTGTCTACAAAAAGAGAATTGTGATTCTAGGCTGGCTTGGAGTAGTTTCTTGCATTCTGAAAGGTGGCTTGGAGTTCTCAGAGGATCAGAATAAGATTGAATTGTTTTGGTCAGCAATTGAATAAGGTTCACTGGAAGGTGCAGCTCCTGGCAGTTCAGTCAGACATCATAAAATAAGCGCACAAGCTGGTACCGGATTGAAAATGCAATCACGCTGCCCAGGACCTAAATTTAAAAACAGACACACACACAAAAAAAAACAAAAAACAAACAAAAACAAACAAACAAAAAACAAAAATACATAAAACAAACAAACAAAAAAAAAACCAATCAACCTGAAGCTGAAACCTTACAACATCAGTCAATTCACTGGCTAGCAGGTTCTTCTTTCGCATGGAGATTTGATGTGCTTTAAAACACAGTGCTATATCATAAACAGACTTAAAGTAAAATTTTTAGGTGTAGAAGAAATGAAAAGCATAAATTTAGCCAAAGTTCTTGGTCTTTCAATCAAAATTGTACCTATCTGTGAGGGATTTTGTGCCTGTTTATGCAAGTTTATCTTGTGAGAACAAACGCAAAAAGATGGCAAAATCACTTCTTAAGACACCCAAATTATAATGTAAACTCTATGGCCTGTAATGAAAAACAACTAGTCAAGCTACAATTTGTTATCCTTTCATAGCAAAGACTTCCCTGCCGTGACCTCACTCAAAATCATGCTGTATGCACTTCCCATTCCCTCCTGCCCGATGTGTTTGGCCTAAGCCTTGTTCTCTTTGTTGGAAGTCTTCTGCTGGAATAGGAATTTAAGTGGTGTTTTCTCTTTCCTAAGGAGAAACTCTTCCCTTTGAGCTGACATTGAAAGGAATTGCACTCAATTAAGCAATGTCTTTTCTGAAACAGAATGTCTGCTGTAACAGGTAAGAGAGTTCACGTGTTGAATAAAAGTAGCAGCAGTATCTGCAAGGCGTGTTCTCCTTGCATTCTAAGTTGCTTCAAAATGCTCCCACACCATGCTCAGACTCCAGCTACCACTGAGTTCATGCCACATTTATGTAAGGGCACCAGCTGGAGATAACACTCGTACTAGTGTTATTTGGTATGATTGAAAAACAGAACTGTGATAAAAGGCTGTATTGAGTTAGAGTGACAAGGCAAGAACATAGTGCTGTTTTTTCTACGGTTCTTCTAGCATCCAGCAACTCGTGCTCTGAGGAGCTTCTCGAGCTAATCTAGGGACTTGAAATTTAATAGCTCTTAGTGAATGATGCTGGGGACTGAGAGGAAGGACAGCTTCTTCCTGTAGCTGTGTAAAGCTCAGATTCTCGAGTTGCACAACTTTAATTGCATTTTGTATAAAAAGCGTGACGCTTCCAGTCCCCCTCTCCCCTTGATATTCTTGAGACAAATCTGGATCTGCTTCTATCACAGAATACATTTCTCTGCTAGCAGGAACATTTGTCTGACCTGAATGAGTAGCAACAGGAGAGTGAGATTTCGTTCATGGATGGGTCCGATCAGCTTTATAACAAAGTTAATTAGCGTCATATTATTGCACTCGGAGTATTCACCATCTTCATCCATTCCACTCCTCACATCTACTATGTGCAAGATCTTTACTACCTAGGGAAAAAAAATATTGCGTGCTATTTTATCAGGTATGTTTAGTGCTTCCTGCTAGATCCATTTTGCTGTATCCCAGTAGTTTGGCTTGTGTTCTTACTTAAGAGACAGGATAGGCTTATGATGGTCTTGGAACAACTGCTGTGTGTGCTTATTTTAAAAGAGCAATTATTAATGTAGTTAATGCATTGACTGCAAGAGACAGTGACTGAGCTAAGTAGAATGTGTTCTTGATTTGAGCCAAGAAATAACCACTGAGCCCAGAAGTTCTGCCTTCCCTCCCATCCTGCTGCTCATGCGTTTGATTCCTTCCTCAAAACATGCCTGTTTTTTTTTTTCAATCTTTTCCTGCTATTACCTTCAGAATGTATGTTCCCAGGGTTGAGAGGCTCTTAGTTTTGAATTTGGAGTAGCTCATCTCCAACTTCCCTGTTGTAGGATTGAGCCTAAAAGGAATGTTGAAGTCTTAGTCTGGACAGAGCAAGGAGACCGTGATCCCTACATAAGTAGATTTATATCTCAAGCCAAGTTGCTGAGAAAGAAATATACTGGTGGAAAAAAGCAAAAATATTCCAATATTGTATAGCAGCAGCTGCTCATACCTTGGTCCCTCAGATTTGGGCAGTCAATAAAATATTCCTCCCCGCTTTGACCTAACACATGCATAAAGCTGCAAGGTTAGAAGAACTGAATATATGTAGACGTGATGACAATCAGTGACAATACATGGTGCTGCAAAATGCTTGCTACAGTAAGATCTTAACAAATCCTAGTGCAACAGCAGTAGGAACAGCCTGTATCTATTTATCTCAGTCTTGCAGCTGAGAATAATCATACTCTAAAGAGTATGAGTGTTAAATAGTAGTCTTTCCTAGTAAATTTCTTCGACAAACTTGTGCTGATTGACTCAACCATAAACAGCATGACTGGCCAACTATCCAACCTACTTTGATAGGTATTAAAAAGAGCACCAACCAACGTATGTTATTGTTTCTCAGCTGGTAGTGGAGACAAAGGGCATAAACTGGTACCGTTATAGGTCACTCAGGTACATTACCTTGGCAGTCGGTGGCGGGGACAAGGAATAATGTGGAAGAGTTGAGGCAATGAGTAGAGGAAGTTAAGCACTTGTGGGATGAAAAAAAGGAGCATTGTTTTGCTGAAGTGGCCCAGGATCCCCACCACAGCAAAGGTCATGCCAGCAAAGTAACAGAAGGTGTCCCCAACAAACACTTGGGATGGATACCTGCAATCCACAAGGCAAAGGAGAAAAGGTCTGTCATAATCAGTGTTGCCAATATAATGACTTCATAACCACCTGAAGGCATTCCCTAATGGCAAGGTTGGTGCATAAAAGATACCAGTGGATTGCTGCTTTGTGTTCTTAGTTCTAGCAAGAAGCCTGTCCGTACTCCAGTATATCGCTTACTCGTTGATAAATGTTTTTGTTTGTAAAGGGAAAAAGAATATGCTTCCAAAGAAATGCTGAATGCCCATCCTCTTACCAGTTGTGGTAAAACAGCCCCAGCGTTGTAAAAAAAAATGGAATCATAAAGTAGAGAGAGAAAATGTGATCATCCTGATAATCCCCTACAGGAAAAAAAAAAAAAAAAAAAAGAAAAAAGAAATGAGGTTCTGATAAGACAGGACTAGGTTATTTTCAACTACACTGACTACTGAAATTGAAGTTTCTATTTCCCTTTGCTTTGTGCACTCCCACGCATTACCTTACCGTTTAACTCTACAAGGTTGAATGCAATAATGGAAGCAGCAATCACCAGAGACTGCCCTGCTTCAATCCCATTGATTCCAGCGAGAATGTTGATGGCATTAGTACAAAACACTGCTAGCATGCCCATGTATGCATAGTAGAGAATACCTGCAGGTCAGAATGAGGCAAATACTTTAGCATTCATATTTGAAACAGTAAATAGGATCACAGCCTGAAATTCTAGTTTCCTGTTTTATAGGACAATTCATTATATAGCGTCTCAGTACATTCTCAAATTAGTAGTTTACTAACAAACAGATCCTTTTCCTGTAAATGTTACCACCTGTACACATGTACAGCACAGTGACTGCAGCAAACGTGCAACACAGCAGCAAACTGCTGTGTTTCGTTTTTGTGATTTAGTGATGCTGGGATTGGTACCTGAGGTCCAAGTGCCTTTGGCACTCTCTCATACTGCCAGAAACCTGAAAAAAGGTACGCTACTTATCTATGCATAGATAAACATATATGCTGGAGCTCTTGATGGATATCTGGATGGCTATTCTCAGCAGCACGATATTTAGTTGGTGACGTTCCCTCTCACTTAATAGTTAGCAAATCTTCCACAGGTTCCCTCTACAGCACAGGGATTGACACCTGCTATGTTAAAGTTTGAGATGTGCCCCCCAATTCATTGCTAATGACCATCAGTGAGTCAGCGCTTACCCAAGTCCAAGTGCATGCCTAGTAACACCCGGAAAGGCTTAGGCACCACAATGGTTGTGTTCCCAAAGTTGGTGAAGTACACCATAAGTAGTGGGAGGGATGCCATGGTAGGGAGAAGGAGTTTGTGACGCCAGCGTAGGTTCAAAACATCATCTGCAAAGCCCAGGAAAATCATGCAGCAGATGGCAAGGAGTGAGCCAATAAGTTCCACAAACTGCAGGACAGAGAACAGGGCTCCGGTCACTAATGGTGATTCCTTGCTAATGCCTGCTGCACTCCAGGCACAAAGAAGCCTTACCTCGTCGTGAGGAAAGGTCGTGCACTGCTCCTCTATGAAGCACCGCAGAAAGGGCACAGGGATGAAGCAGAAGAGGATGATGAGGAACACGGCCCCGCTGATCATACCCTGTGCCTCGGGGCTGAAAGGAAGGGGAGGCCAGCGGTCAGCTGGGATGTTGCGGGCCGGGGCCGGCCCGGCGGGCACCGCTACTCACATGGGCCGCCGGAAAGCCTTGTTGAGGTCCTCGCCGACGAGGCGCGCTGCCAAGAAGTGGTCTTTGAAGGCCGGTATTAATGTGAGGGTGGCCACGAAACCTAGCAGTGATCCCCCGAGATTGATGAGGAGGGGCGCGGCGGGCCAGGCCACCATGGCCGCGGCGGGCGCTGGCCCTGACGGGCACGGAGCTTCTCTCGGCGCACCTTGCCGGCCGGGCGCTAGAGTAGGATGCACCGGATACGCGCGCGCCTTTTCCGCTCAGTCCGTGAGGGGAGCGCCATCTTTGGCCCTGGCAATGCCAGTGGGCCGGCACTACCTCTGTTTCGCCGTCGCGTACATCACTTCCTCCTTTCTCCCTCCCCATACCCTGCGGTAGGTGGGCTAACCCCGGTAGTGCTGCGCGGGCCGTCTGGTAGCCCCTCAGAAGCGCCCTAGTTGCTTTGGCGTTTGGAGCGGCTGCTCCAGCACCGAGGGCCTCCCTGTCGGGCCGCCCCGACTTTTTGATGTGCTTCGCTGCTCTGTGATCAGCAATTGCCGACGCCGGCAGGGCTCCTGAGCACGGCCGTCGCCTGTAGGCTATGCACGGGGACTCAGTGTGCGGCCCTGGTGGACGGCGGCGCTGAAAAGAACCTTGGGGACTGGGGGTGGCATCGGAGGTGACCATTGGGCAGTGGGAGGTTGCGGTGGGTACGGTGGGGGCAGGGGGCCGCTGGCAGCGCTGTCCTCGCCCGCTGCACACCTGGCGGGGGCCGTTAATTGGCTCCCCAGGAAGCGTCCCTGAACCCGGCACTGCTTTCTTCTGTGAGAGTGAGCAACGGAGTGGCCCCACGGGGAGAAAAAAATAAATAAAAAACCCACGTTAGCTTGGGTCGTCCTGAGCCAGAAAACCGTTACCAGGTGTGTGGTCTTTGTGTGAGTGATCCTGGTTGAATGCAGGACAGGCATGGGTTTCACCACGGGCATTGCATTTGGATGCAAGTCACTGAGTAGAGAAGGAAAACACAGTCGAGGTGAAAGACATAATAGCAGGACAGACTTCCCTCTGCTCTGCGTTTGTGTGGGATGCGGTGAGCTCAGATGGTTTCTGATGGCTTTTTCTGGGCTGATTAGAAAGCTACTGCTGTATCAATAGACCTTTTCTGGTCTATGGTCTGTTGAACTTCTGAGAAAGTTAGTGAAGTATAGCTGAGCCTTAAATTCTAAGGCAGGCATTCGGTTCTTTGAGGGAAGAAACTACAGTATGCATGAGGAGGTTGACCAGAGAGCCTCCTGCACCTGCGGAAATACCACTGTGGCACGTGTAAAACGAGGGGGGTACAGCTTTTGTTGTCGGCCCTCCTGGGAGAAGGTGACCCAGGGCAGGCAAGCAAACGGGCTCCAGCTGGATGATGAGCTGCAGTGCAGGTGCGCGTGCGTCAGCACAAGTGAAGAATCAAGCTGAGAGAAAGGTGTTTTCAATAAGAAAGGGAAAAGTCATCGAAGAGCTAATCCATCATCTTCGCCTTGCTCTTTTAGGCCGCCAGCATTAGTTCGTGGCAGTCAGCGACGAGGTTGTCCAGACAGAAAGGCTGCTGGCGGAGGACCCGCAGACCCAAGAGAAAAACTTGCACGCGGACACCGGAAAGGAAAGCGGAGAACAGTGAGGTAGCCACGTAACCCCAGGGTCGCCCGCCATGCCGCGGGGAGGCGGTGCTCCGATACCGGAAGAACTCAGGCGGCTGCGTTTGGGGACGCAGTCACCACGCGCGGGTTGGGGTGGCTGTTGTGCGCAGGCGGGCGCCGGGAGCTGCAAGGGCCGGGGGCCGGGCTTGGCCCACGTGCGTCGCGGAATCGGGAGCAGGGCGGCGCGCCGCGTCTCTCCCCTCCTCTCTTCTCTGGGTGGGAGGCGGTAACAGCTAGGCTGGGGCCGGGCGGCGGCCGCCCGCCATGCCTCCCGGGCTGCTGTGAGGCGCAAGGCGCAGCAACATGGGGCCGGATCCGGGCTGGGCCGCGCTGGTGTTGCTTTTCGCCGCTTCGCTGCTCACGGTCGCGGCCTGGCTGCTCCAGTACTGGCGGTCGGCGGCTCTGCGATCGCCGCGGCGGCAGGTGCCGGCGACGGAGGAGGCCGGGGCCCGGGCGCTGCTCGCTGCGCTGCTCGGTCTTCGGTCCCTGCGTGAGCAGTGGCAGCGGGCCTGGGTGCGAGCCCTCAACAGCCAGGCGCGCCGGCACGGGGTACGGCAGGGCGCGGGCGGGCGGGGCCAGGCGCCGCGTCGGCGGCGAGGCGAAGGGCGGTGAGGCCGAGGGTTTGCGTCGGCTTCGGTCGAGGAAGGAAAGCTCCTCACCAAGCACTTGGCTGTATAGTCTGGACAAAACTGTCCAAAGCAAGCATTCGTTGTGCTATTTTCGGTTTTTTTTGGCTACTGCGTGTTGCTTTCTACTGTGCTTGGGAGATGGGGTGCTGATCTTCCTAAGTCGAATATGGCTTATGAATCCCACAGCAAGTATTGTCACGGAAGCTTACGTTGCCTGTTCAGGCCTTAGTACTTCAAGAACTTTGTTGTCTCTTGTTTCTACAGAAGGACTACAGAGCGCTGATGACTGCTGTGTGAAAGAGTGTTGTGTCTTGAGTCAAGTTTAGTTGTCAAAAGAAATTGGTAGCATTGGCCTATAAGAGTATTGCGCTATTGTGAATGCGGATGGCTTGTTTGTAAAGGACTACTTACTCCTATTATATGGCTGATGTGTTTCCTTTCTAGATTATTTTTTTCTGTATGCTAGAGATTTGGGAATTGACTAATTGAATTGACCACGTCTGGGATCTGGATCTGGAAATTGACTTGTTCCAAATGTAAACTTCCTTGAGGCTTGTCATATGTATGTTGCGTCTGTCTGTTTAGAGATGTACCAGTGACCCTGCTTGTGAAGCTAGGTATCCCTTACTGCTGCTAGTATTGACAGATTTGGTTTGTCGGAGCTGTTTGACTGTGCCAGTGAGAACACCTAGTCTCTCCTCATCTGATTTTACTCTTTTTAAAGAAAGGAAAAAAACAGGAAGAAGAAAGAGGAAACAGCTGATTGTTTCATTGCGTTTAGTCATTTGCTTTGTCACCTTACGGTCTTTGTAATCTATGTGTGGCACCATGTTTCGCCTCTTCCTTGGACTTGTTAGGTTGACTTGGAAAGGCTGGCCTAGTTTCTCATTCTTTGCTACCCGTGACAAGTGAAATTGTGCTTTGTTTTAATGGAGAAATGCTGCAGCATCTGGCCTCTCTTTTCTGCCTTTGATCTAGTTGGTTAACACTATAAAATGGGAATGGGTGTTTATATCCCTTTTCAGGCTCAGATGGTGTCAGAGAATAGATTATTCAGCAGTGTTTTTAGGATGAGCTTATCCTTTGACAGGTTTTAATGGTTAAAGTACTTTGTTCCTAAAACATTTGTGGAAAAATGGGGCTTTTCACAAAGGTGTTGTAAATGTGGCGGACATATGATCAAAGGTTGAGATGTCCATCAAACTATACATTGATGCCTGCCTTTGTGGGCTTTGCTGCTCCTTCTCCATAGACTGTCTTCTGTTATTTTCATTTATTGTTGTCAATTGATTGTACTTAGTTATTGAATATGGAGAAAATGAAAAGATGTTCCTTTCAAAATAATGTAAGGAAGCTGCGATAAAAGCGAGACTGGACCTGTTGTGTTTGCGTCCTGTTTCTTTTACTGTCTGCTCAGAACAAACTCAGAAACTTTCGTTGTAGTACAAGAAAGTTGGCGAACAGTACCTTAAGAATACCGAGGGCAGGAATCATCCATGTTGCAGGTCTGACTTCTGTGACAGAAGTTAGGACTGATTGTGACCAATTGGACTATGTCCTCGATCTTATAGAAGGAGGTACAAGAAGAACAAGAAGGTGTGCTGTATAAGGTTGCTGTAGGACTACCTGCTTTAATCTGTTGAAAGTGAATCTTTGGCCTGGAATTAAACAAGACTAGATTATGCACTGTAGGATTATGCTCTTGATAGTTACGGGTAAGATAGAACAAACTTGATTTGGTGTTTAATATGTCAGCTACTATAAAACTTTGTTTTACATCTCTGCCGCCTCTTCCTCACTTTCCCCCAGTTCTGCAAGTAGCTAGGTTTAACACTGAACCTGAGGTCCACATCCTGAAAAGGTGGTTTCTTCATTGAGGAAAACCAGAATGTTGGGATATACTTGGTTTGTTTATTGTATGGAAGCTGAAACACTGGATCCTGCCGATGTTGAATCTATTAAGTCTGCTTTTTATTTTGTGACTGAAAGCAAGTTTGTTCTTGTATAGTTTATGTAGCACTGAGGGACTTGCTGTCAGGAGTGACACTTAAAATCATGAATGGCTTAGCCTGGAAGTGACCTTAAAGATCATCAACCTCCATCTCTTTTCTCATGGGCAGAGTTGCCAACCACTAGATCAGGCTGCACAAGGCCCCATCCAACCTGGCCTTGAACATCTCCAGGGATGTGGCATATACAACTTCTCCGAGCAGTCTGTTTCAGTGCCCCACTGCCCTCTGAGTGAAGAATTTCTTTCTAATATCTAACCTAAATTTTTCCTCTTTTAGTTTAAAGCCGTTTCTTCTTGTCCTACCACTGCTAGGCTGTATAAAATGTCAGTCTCCCTCCAGCATACAAGTTTCTTTGAAGCACTAGAAGGCCACTGTTTTTTGAGCCTGTCCAGGACCCTTTGGGTGGCATTCCTTCCTACTATTCTGTCAACTGCAGTACTTACTTTGGTGTCATTTGAACACCTGCTGAGGGAGCACTTGATCGCATCAGCTACATAATTCATGAAGATGTTAAAGAGTACCAGTCCCAAGATGGACCCCTGGGAGGGACCACTCCCGGTCAGCCGCCAACTGGGCTTAGAGCCCTTGACAGCAACATTGGCTACAACCATCCAAACAATTCTTTATCCACCAAATAGTCTACACTTAAAATCTGTATCTCTCCAACTCTCCAGAAGATGATGTTGCTGCAGTGAGTTGCTGTGGCTAAAAACAGTACTCTGAAGCAGGGCTTCAATAGTATTCTTGTGTTCAGTTTGCCTACTCTGTTTGCTCCTTGTGAGGAAAGGGATAGGTTTCTTTAAGCAATGTCCTTAGCTCTTTATCATGGCCTTCTGTTCTTTGCAAAATATTTTCTGTGGAGGACTGCTCTTGTTACACGGGGAAATCCTTGAATGAGGAAGAGGAATACTTCCACGGTGGAGTTTGTAATCTGATAAACCGTGGAAAGGTGGAAAATAGGAATTAGTCAAGCACATGAGCTCAGATGCTGTATGTTGGAGATAGGTTTTATTGCTGGTGGTGTTTTTGGATTTTTAATTGGGGTGAAATTAGCAGAGAGGAGTGAAAAGAAAAGCGAAGTCTTGGTGATGAAGAAGGTTTAACACTCTCTTACAGTTAACAGGTATTCAGAATAATTTTGCATTCTCAATCAGGCTTGCCTGTCTGAAGTTAGTGTTTGTGAGCCTGGACCACTGTTTCATTTCTCTGCCTGGACAAGCCAGAATTGCAGTGTGGACATGTTTGTGTGCTGGTTGGGTTCATGGAATTGGACTAGAATGTCTCTGGGGCCCTATGTTAGACTTGTTCATCCTCTTTGAAACTACCTGTGATACCTTGTCCACGGGGAACTAACGGAGTTCTCTTTTTGTAGAGTTCAGTGCAGATCACATTTGAAGAGGGTCCTCAATTACCACCAGCAGCAAATATAAGCTGTGTGACTTGCAAAGGCCAGTCAGGTCACAGCATGGTAAGGCTTTGTTGTTCTGAATTGTGCCATGTTGGGTTTCTCTGCAATCAGTCTTGTATGGGGATTGTCAATGCCCACATGATGGGAATGGTAAACCTGGGGGAAAGTTGTGGGCTGGGTCCATAATTTGGTTCAGAGATTGCAGCTCAGGGACTATACGTTGGTGAACTCTGTGTGAGCAGTGGATGAGATCCATCTGATAAAGTTGAGACGTAGGGATGCTGAGCCTGAATATCAGGGCACTGCAGTGCAGAGAAGAGGGCTTCTTTGTCGATAATCTTTATTGGCTCATGTATGGAGTCTTAAATGACATATTTAGAGTGCAGAACTGGGGCTGGCAGACTGATGTTTCTGTCCTGCCTCAATAGGTTAATTTTACTTATTGCTTTTACAGATTTTGCCATCTCAAATCTGCATCTCAGCAAGGATATAAAATTATCAATTTCCTTTTCTCTGTAGGTGCTGTGTTGTCATCTGTCAGCTGAAGCTGTGAAGTTCCCTGTCTCTGTCACCCAGCAGTCTGCAGTTGCTGTTTCTGTGGACACGTATCATGTCACTTTGGCTCTGCTCCAGGCTGAGGTAATAGTTGTAAAAAGTTTGTTGGTTTTCTTGTTCTACGTAGCCCAATGCTGAAGGAGGAAGGGAGGACTTGGTGTAGTGCAGCTGAAGGTCTTATTGTGCCAGAGAGAGAGCCAAGTTATTGCTACTGTCTGGTGGGCTACTAAGCATTTCCTGATCAGCGTGCAGAGTCCTGTTTTATGAGCATTGTTCTGCAGATCTTGGATATTTAACATCATATTAATAAAATCTGGGACCATAGAGATGATGTATGGCGGTGTTCTATACTTGCTTTTAAAAGATCTGCTTGAAAGCTGGAAGATCCACAAAATTCGAAACTCCGTGCAATGCGATAAATAGGGAAATATTCTGTCCTGTTATTGGTGTGAAAAAGAAATCCACTGTGAGGAATGGTTTACTTGCCAGGACTCCCCTCAATACATTCATTTTGTTTCTGTGTTGAATTTTTGGAGATGGAGATGTTTTTCCCAGAAAAAGGAACTGAAATTGCAATGGGTGGTAACTCCACAGTTGCTTTCTGGTTGGATTTGCTTCTCCAGAATTTCATTTTTCCCTCAAGCAGAAGGATTTCTTTGTCTTGGTGGCATCTTCCTTGGATACTGCTTGCTCTTTGGTGCTATCGGAAGAGATGGTAGAATTAAGAGCAGTTCTACAGTGTGAGGCCAGTCCCACGCTGCTGCAGATGTTACAGTTGGAAAGTTGTTCAAGAATGTTTTTGCTCTTAAAAGCTTTAATAAAATTTTCTGTGTAAGTTTACCAGATCATGCTGGTTTGTTCTTGTGTCTACATAAGAGTTCTTCATTCCTTCTGATTATCTCCTTTCCTTCCTTGGTGTTTAGTATGCCTGCTGCTGATCTCGTTGTGGCTGTGAATTGCCATAATTGTTCATCTTTCCTTAGTCTGTAGAGGCCGGGTCAAGACCAAGTCGCTTCTCTACTCGTTGGAATTTCTCCTCGTCTGTGTCTGTTGAAGTTTTGATTTTTGTGTGTCTGATGATCAGAATACTTCAAGTGCTTCTGTCCCAAATTTGTCTTGCCTTTTCTGTTAAACCTCTTGCCAGTTACTTGTCTGGCTACTCTGTCTCAGATCTCTTACTTTCAACTCAAAATTGTGTATTCCAGGTAAAGAAATGTTCAAAAGCAGTTTCTTTCGGTTACTTTTGTTGAACTGTGTTCTGTGTTAAATTTAAATTTTGTTCCATTGTTTTTAATAGCGATCTTGAGTTGGGAGTTTTTCCTCTGTCGTTTCATTTGTGTGTTGTATTAATGATACCTTTATTTTGTATGGATGTGGAACTTTTCAACTGAACTACAGAATACTGTACAGGCTGTGTTGTTGTTGCAGACTGTTGGTGACCTGAATGAGTTTGCAGACTAAGGATGATTTCCTAGAGACTTTAGAAATGGTTCTACTTATGTTTGACAGTGGTTAATGACGTAGCTCCACAAATACAATGTATTAGTACCCAACTTGCTTTATCAGATTGTCTTGGGGGCTTTTTCTTCAGCCAAAGAAGTAAGGTTTTTTGTTTTTTTTTCCTTTGATGATGTCTGGACATCCAATGGCAGTGAGGAAGCTGGATATGGAGTGATGAATATTCTGTAGCCAGTTACTCTCGGAAGCCCAGGACCACCTATGTTCTTCCTTGTTTTTTTTTATAGCTGCAATAATGGGGAGGCCCTTTTAGTTGCTGAAGATGAAGCAGGGCAAGAAACACCAAATGAAAACAGAGCGTTCTAACTGCATATTTGTTCTGGGTCAGGTGGAGATCCACTTGGAGGAGATACAGAATCAGGGTCTCCTGGTGTCATGGACATTCAAGGACAGACCAGACTTGGATCTTTCAGTTCTTCCGAGACTTCAGCCTTGTGAGGTAAGCAAACAGGGAGGCTAAACTCAGAGGGAAGAGGGAAAGTGCTAAAGGAGTGCATTCTTAAAGAGAGCTAAAGCAGTTCTGATACCTGCTTTCTGAGTTTTGCATAACATCTGAACTCTGAATAGAGTCTACGTAGCAAAAAATGCTTCCTGTCTATGTAGGTTCTACTGCTGTTGCCAATTGCAGAGCTGCAAAATGAGTTGGAGTATTTTATTTTACTTTTTGGACTTGTAAAGCTCAGAACTTTGAGTTCTGAGTGTTTTTGGCTTGATGAGCTGAACACAGATGTGCTTGCAACTCAGGGTGTTTTTTTTTTTTTTGTTTTGTTTTGTTTTGGTTTGGTTTTTTTTGTTTTGTTGTTGTTGTTGTTGTTGTTAGTTTTATTGAAATCCTTGTCTTATCCTTAGCGGATGTAGGAATTTGGCTTTTATGAAAGTGGTGGTGGTACTGTTACATGAGGTGGCAAGGATACAGTAAGCCCTAAAGGCTTTATTGTCAAAATTTGCAATAGGGAGACTACAGATGTAAAGGTCAATTTATCTTGCTTATATAGCCTGTTTTTGCCAGTAACTATTACAGCAGCGATTAAGCGCTGGGGAGAGGGTATACAGGACAGAAGAAGAGTATGTGGGAGGGTATTTCTGGGAGAAGGGCTGCTTAGCGTCATGGAGGCTTTAGAGGCAGTTGCAGCTGTTTAAGGAGAAAAATTGTCTGCCTCCGTGTGACATTCCTGCATTTCCTTTGGATTTGTGGAGAGAAGAACGAAGGGAAAGCGGATCTGTCCACCATAAAGGATCTAATCGAGGATACTATTGTCAGCACGCAGCCAGCCATGATGGTGAATCTGAAGGCTTGCACAGCTGGAACTGGCACAGTAAGATTCTCTTCCTGTAGCATTCTCGTGCCTTGTATGCTGTGCCCTGAAGTGCTTTGGAGGGCCCAGGCTCATTTTTAGACAGCAGTCACATTCTTAACAATAATTGGGGTATTGTGGCACAGGGAGTGGGGGGGAATTAGTAGGGAGAGACCTTTGGCGTGTCGCCTTTGGTTCCCCCTTCAAGTAGTCAGAAAGCTCATTCCTATCTGTCTCTTTTCGTGTCTACCCTAAATTTCATGTCTGAAATGACATGGGGGCCCACCGAAGGTTGATAGCTTGTGGAATCTGCACTACCTCTAGGTGGCTTTGTGGATATTCCCGTGAGGAGCATTTGTGAGATGTAAGCACAAATGTTATGTGTCTTACTGCTATCTGCTGAAAAGCAAATGGTAAGTCATCAGTCTTCCTCTCATGATTCCTCAGGTATCCAGCAGTAAGGTGACCCAAGAGTCTCCATACAGTGTAGTAGAAGCCCCTCTGGGTTCAAAGCTGTTGCTCCGGAATCTTCGTGTGCTGAACTTAGGCTCACAGAGGAGTGGAGGTAAATGTGAAAACGCTGCTAAGCTGAAACAGGGCAAGTGTGGAGGTAGCAAGGTTAGAGCAAGTGGATATTTGTCTTGAAATGGAAATATGTGTGTGTGAGCTCTGCCTTGTATTTACAGGTGCATACATGTTCTCTTTCTCTGTTGCAGGAGTTGGGGAGATACGCTGTGTTGCAGAACTAGACAGTCCCCCGCAACAGAAACGGACAAGGCCAGTGAGAGCTGGTAGCACTGGCATTGCTGCAGAGATGGAGTGGAATGAAGAGCTGTTTCTGTAAGTGTCTCCCACCCTCCTGGCAGTTGCAATAAAGGCAGACTAGCATGACCTCTTTGTGGAGGTGATGTCTGCAGTGCTGGTGGCGTGTGTTTGCGCTGCTGGTGTACCGGGCTGCAAATACTAGTGATTGGCCCCAGCTTGCATGCGTATTTCCTGCTTCCTTGTATGGTGTGTGTTTTAACTGGATGGGCAGAAGTGCTGATTGTGTGGAGTACAGGGGCAGGAGCACTTAAATTTCTAGACAGTTTTAGTAGCTTGCTCTGGAAGCTTATGCAGCCCAACATGGGACATAAGCTCTCCTCACCTTGCTGCTCCTTCTTAAGGCCTCCAAAACAAGACACGCATTCCAGAGCTTTGGAAAGATGATTTGAGGGAAGGAAAATATTAAATGAACTTGTTTACACTGCGGCATTTCTTCAAAGACTGCTTAATCCCGGTTCTTCTGTCTCTGTTTCAACAGTGAGTTAGGGCCCAGAAGTAAGGAGCTGAAGTTACAGGTGCTGGGGAACAGCTGCAAAGGGGAAGGTAAGTATGAACAGCCAAAAAATGGATTCTAAGATGAGATGACAAAACTGCCTAAGGAACTTGTTGTGCTTTGAGCCAGTGATTCTTCTATGTCACATGTTATGTTACAAATTCTGCAAGGGATTTCCGTATCAAACCTTATATGAGTCTGTGTGTAAAGTACCTCTCAAGTCAGTTGTCTTTACTGCGGGTCATGGGACCCTTTAACTTTCTTGCCTGGAAGCAGTGAGAGGGATGCAGACACTTGTCCACGTGTATTGGAAGGACAGGGCAGAGGCTCTTAATTCTTTTGGACTTGTGGTCAGAGTACAGACAATTGCACATTTTTGATGGGGGCTACAAAAATACAACTTGTCTAACATTTGTTTTGTAGATCAGCAAAGCAGAGCCTCTTCTGCTGAATCTGGGACTTACTGGAATTAAGGCGATCTGCTTTGATGTCCCGTGGGTCTAGTTTCCAAAAGCAGATGGACCCTGGGAAAGGTCTGAGGTGCTGAGAAGTCATGTGGTTTTTCTTTTCTTTTTTCCTTTTGCAGATGTGCTGCTGGGACATACTACTCTTTTGCTTGATTCTTTGGGCAAACAGCCCTCTGGGAGACAGGTGTGCTCGCTGGCCTCAGGAGCTGGGCAACCACTGGCAGCTGAAGCTACCATTGTATTGGAGGTGAGCTGATGACTTCGTAAGCTCTGTGAGTGCATGCTCTAGAAATATTTGTAATGTGAGACCATAGCTGGAAACCAAAGTGATTAGGTCTGAGCCTGTTGCAGGGGACTAACAGAGAATGTCTGAGAATGTGTCACCTCACCCTTAGTCCCTGAGCTTCCCTTCCATTCAACAGACGTTGCGGTGAGGATGGCTCCTTAGTGTCCAGAGCGGTAGCTTTTGTTGTTTGTATGCCCGCCTTTCATTCTGGGAGGAGGGTAGTCCCTCCTGAGCTGTGTTTTATTTTTTGTAGCTTTTATACCAGGATTCTTCTGCATCTCTGAATGCTCAGCATGCCACATCTCTGCATACCAGCATCACCCCCACAAAGAAGGTGGAGATGGACCGGACCATCATGCCTGACGGCACCATTGTGACTACTGTCACCACGATTCAGTCCCGACCCAAGGTGGATTGTAAGCTGGGTGAGGCTGCCCTGAGATAGGAGTCTTGTACAGGTGGCTGTTCAGACACCGAATGTTGGGTTGTTGTGGACTTGTATTTTAAGGATGAAGTGGGTGAATGGTGCTTTTGGCTTTCAGATTATTGTCCTGTGGCTGTCTGGAGATTAGTAGGAAGCATTGAGGGGAGGGAACTGACATATTGATGTATCTCCTGTATTTGGAAAGAGAGATCAGAGGGATGAGCCTCTCTGACATTGAGGGTGGGACTTCTGCATGATGTTGGACTAAACATTTTGGCTTTCTTACTCTGTTTTCTTCACTGCTAAATGAGTTGTGCTCTGTGTACTGAATACAGGCCTGAAAACCTGTTGCCCTTGCTTACCAGTTGTTGCTGCTTGCAGTCTCGGCCTGATGTCTTGGTGAATGTAGTGCTGGTTATTTAGTGAGGTAGGGTTGGGAAACAGCACAAACAAGGGCTTGTGACAGGGCTGCTTTGCGTGTCATTCCAGTTGCTTCTTACTACTTGACTGCTGCAAAGCCTCATATCGGCAGCCTCTGCAGATGTTCTGTGTGTGTGTATGATGCTGTGTGTGTAGGGGACCATGACAGTGTGATGAAGCTGCCTCAAAGCTGCCACTTTCTTTTGTCTCTGTGTCTTTTCCTATCTTTCACTACGAAGATTCACCTTCAAGGTCACCATCCAAGGTGGAAGTGACAGAAAAGAAGACAACAGTGCTTTTGGAAAGCAGCTGTCCTCACAACTCCTTGTCCAGCAGCAGCCGTAAGTGCTTGCGAAACAGGGCTTCTTAGTGGCGCAGTGATGTTTCTTAGCCTTTCTCAGTAAGAGGCTGTCTGAGTGAGAGTTGCTGAACTCATCTGCATTTGCTGCAGAAGAGAAAGTCCAAGTACCTAAGGGAAGAAGAGAAATAAGGGATGGGAGGGCAGGACGTGGAAGCAAGTAAAAGAAATGCTTCTGTGGCTCTCTCATCTGTTAATCTCAATGTTTCCTTGTCTGACAAAAACATCTCCAAAGTATCTGAACCCAAAGAAATTTGCTCATGCTGTATCTCTGTACTTAGTGTTTCTGATTGTCTCTGGGACAGGGTGCTTAGGCTCTTTGGATGCTTTGTGGCCAAGGCTGTGTGACCTCTTGTAAGTCTTTGGAAGTTTTTTTTAAGTGGGAAATGGGAAAGGTATTTTAATAATGCATCTATTGGGAAATCAAGCTTAACAGGTGCCTAGAAGAGATGAGAACTCTGTGGAGCATCCTTTCTTTAATGTCTTTGAGCAAATCTATAATAAATTCTGCTATCTATTGTAACATACATGCAGTAGCCCATTAAAAGCATCATGGTCATTAAGTGAGCTCTTGCCTGTGTTGAAGGACACTACTTCAAGTGTTGGTATCTTTCTTGTGCTCAGGAGACAGCCAGATGCCCAATGGCTTGGATCCAGTGGCTGAGACGGCAATCAGGCAGCTAACTGAGACAAATAACAAGCCTGCCAAGAAGACCCCAACAAAACGTAGCACGCTGATCATCTCAGGAGTTTCCAAGGTGTCTGGCAGTTAGAGGTCTCCATTTTCATTCTGGGAGGTTGTTTCTAGGAATGTGTGTGTGAAACTGCCCTGTCCTCTAGGGAACGATGAGGAAAGATCCCATTGCAGGGGACTTGCTCAGCAGAACCTTTTTGCTGCTTTCTTGCAGCTTGTTCTTATTTCCCAGCAAACATCAAGGTCACCTCGTTAGTCTGCAGGGCAGCTGTCATGGGAAGCTCACAAAGCATGGCAGGAGAAGAGGAAGCTGTTGATGTAGCCAATTGGGAAACCTCATGGAGAATCTGAGTTGTCCTGGGACTTTCTTATGGGAGTGAGGGAAGTATTGCAAAATGTAGTGGAATCAGGTATCTTCCAGTATGTTTCGGCAAAAAAATAAGTGACCATTGTATGTCTGTGCTTTCTAGCATGGTTGACCAAAACTGGAGATAAATGCAACGCTTTAGATCTTGTCTTCCTGTCTGACCCTCTAACATCCTCCAGGTACCTCTTGCTCAAGATGAAATGGCACTTTCTCTGGGTTATGCTGCATCCATGGAGGCCACAGTATATGGAGATACTGGGGCAGTCTGTGCATCTGACCAGGTGCGTGATTCCACTGAGTCATCACAGCTGCTGGAAGCATCACCATCAGAACAAAGAGCCAGTCAGGAGCTGGATGAGACGACGCGATCTGACATCTCTGAGAGACCGTCTGTGGAAGATGTTGAGTCTGAAACTGGCTCCACGGGAGCCCTTGAGACCAGGAGCTTGAAAGATCACAAAGGTGAGGGTGAACTGTTAGCCAGTAGCTAACGTCAGCTTGTTGTCTCTGAGGAAGAAGTAAGACCTTTGCAGCTTGCATATTCCCAAGACAGTGTTTCGGCCTCTGAGTTTTCAGATGAGACACGTATCTGTCAATAGCGATTCTTCCTCTAAACTCTGCTGCTGTGGTGCAGAGCTGCAGACTGTGTGGACCTTGATACGCTCTGTTTTCTCCATTACCATCAAAGTAGCTAGCACCTCTGGCCTGCAGTACTATAGTCCCCACAGGCTCCCAGCTTTTAAACAGTGAAGGGTAGGTCTGCCATGACTGAGGTGCTGTTCTGGAATATCCAGGTTTGTGTCAGTTGGGCAGACTGCATGACTTGGATTGGTTTGCTTGAAGCCGTGATTGTTTCAGTTTGCTACAAATTCCCTAAGCAAAGGCAAGCCAATAATCTGTTTCTCAAAATCGTGTTGGTCTTTTGTTTGCATATCAGGTGAAAAGGTATGTGGCCCAGATGCACAAGAGACCTGGTGAGCTGGGAAAAGAAGGAAGAAAAACAAGGAATTGTGGAATTGCTCAGGTTGGAAAAGACCTTAAAGATCAAGTCCAACCGCAACCTAACCATACTACCCCAACTCTTAACAACCCTCGCTAAATCACATCCCTGAGCACCACATCCAAATGGTTTTTAAGCACATTCAGGATGGTGACTCAACCATGTCCCTGGAGAGCCTATTGCAGTGCTTAACAACCCTTTCAGTAAAGAAGTTTGTCCTGATATCCAACCTAAACTTCCCCTGGCACAACTGAGGCTGTTTCTCCTCGTCCTGTCACCAATGAGAAGAGACCAGCCCCGCTTTTGCTGTAATCACCTTTCAGATATTGGAAGAGAGCCATAAGGTCTCCCCTCAGCCTCCTTTTCCCCAGACTCAACAGCCCCAGTTCCTTCAGTGTCTCGTCGTAGGCCTCTAAGCCCTTCAGCAGCCTTGTTGCCCTTCTTTGGACCTGCTCCAGCATCTCAATGTCTTTTCTGTACTGAGGTACCCAAAACTGAACACATTATTAGAGGTGAGGCCTCACCAATGCAGAATACAAGGGCAGTATGACTTCCCTAGTCCTGCTTACTGTGCCATTCCTGATACAAACCAGGATGTCATTGGCAAAGAACCCCACTATCTATAGAAAATAGTGTTGTAGCACTGAATAATGGGCAGGTTTTGGATATGCCTTTGTGTTCCCTTTTGGGGCTGCCAGTGAGCAGCATTTTCATCCTGTCCTGCCTCTCTATGCCTTCAGGAGCCATCGCTGTTTTTTTTTCTTCCAGATTTGCGCATATTGTGAAACTGCAAACAGTTGTGCTGAGAGTGTGATGACCAGCTAATCTAGATGCCCATATGATGGGCTAGCCCAAGAAGCGCTTTCCCTGTTGTATGTGTTGCTGTGGATATCTCCACACTGTGATATTCCCAGTCATTTTCCACATCAGTCTTAACTTTAATTCTTCATGACTCCTCTCAAGTAGATGGCTGCATAAAAGGAAGCTTATGTACAGGAGGTGTGTTTTTAGGAAAATAGCTTTGTATTGCAGTCTGTGCTGAATCTGGACTTTGCCTTGCAGTTGGAAGCTAGGACTCGACCTGTGTGCCTTTGCTGATTGGAATGATGGTCTCTTGTTTAAGAGTGGCCAGATAGCAGTGTGTATTTGTCATCCCAGAGACTCACTAGTGCAGGACGCCACCATGATTGCTATCTTCTTTCTGTCTTTGCAGTTAGCTTTCTTCGGAGTGGTACCAAACTCATCTTTCGGAGAAAGAGCAAGCAGAAGGAAGCTGGCCTCAGCCAGTCACATGATGACTTGTCCAACGTCACCGCTGGTTCTGCCACCAAGAAGAAAGCTGGCAGCTTCTCCCACCGCCTCATCAAACGTTTCTCCTTCAAGTCTAAATCCAAACCTAAGACTAGTGACAACACAACAACAGGTGAGAACTGAATGAAGGAGAAGCCAGCTGGAAGGATTCAACAGAAATTGTCTTCTCTTCTCTCGTCTTTCCACTCCACTGGTACCTGTGACCTGCAGTCCAGTTCCTTACATCCTTGTTTGAGGGAAGACACCTTGGTACTTGACACTGTCTAGAGAGTGAAGGTGATGAACCCAGGGTTGAGGCTGCTTAACTGTCTTTGCTCGGCCTTCTCTGACTATTATGCTCTCTCAAAAAAACCTAGCTGATACGCTAATCCCCATTGGAGTCCCAGGAGCTGAAGAAATGACTCTGTCTGTGTAGCTGTCCAGCTTCACTAGGTGTTTCCTTGAAAGAGGGGGCGATTTTTCAAGTGACAGCCTCACTTAAAAAGTGAGAATCTGCTAAGGTATCCTCATTTTTCAAGAGCTATGGGTTGCATAACCCATAATAATAGCAGAATTCTGCACCTCGCAGAATTCTGATATTGAGAAAGGATGGTGTGGTCATGAGCCATTCACATGTTGCTCTTGCTTGGTGCAGAGGCTTGTTGCCTGACTGAGGTGTGTGATGCGTTGTGGGGTGGTGCATTCTTGGCCTAAGAGCTGTGAGCAGAATGAGATACTGTTCCCCTATTGGAATGGCTTCTGGTTCAGAGGGTGCTGAGGAAGCCTGCTTTCTGCGCTCTACTGATGAAGAAAGGTGTCTAAGGACAAGGAAGTCTTAAGCACTAGACAAGTTTTCTGTAGAAGGTGGAGTCCTTGCAAAGTTTGGTTGCTGCTCTTGGTGTGCCGCCTGATGACGCAAGCCTCCTGTATTTGTGTTCTGGAGTGGGGAAGGGATCTTGTTGCATGCATGTACCAGCTGTCTTCTGTACGAGTGGAACCCTTTTCCTTGTGTGTAGCTGGGGCTTCCCCAGTGTTCTGCTGGAAGATGGCAGAAGCTGTCATCTGGTCCTGCACTGTGCGTGGCCTCGTTCTCTATCAGCCCTCGCACCAATGAGCAATATCGTGCTGGAGTTGGAAAGTGAGAAATGTGGCAATACCAGCAAAAGAGCAGTGTGATATGAAACCTTAAGCTGTGTGGCAACACAAGTGAGGAGCTTACATGTTTTCACAGAGGAAAGTATAGAAGGAGCCTTTCTTGGTGGTATTAGATACTCTCCTTCTTCTTAAAAATGTCTTTTTCTGTGTTTAAAGTGGAGGTGTTTTTGCAGTGGGTGTTTCTTGAGAGAGAGCTGCTTGGGGGAAAATCAACTGCTTGCATGGGAGTAAACACTGCCCTTCCAAATTAATGTTTTTCCAGTCTCCTGAGATGCATGCATTAGTGAATATTTGCAGAGGCCCAGTTTGGATGAGTGTTACAGTGCTTCCTGAGGAAATGATAGTGCCCTGTCAGAGTAGATGGTTTGAATGTGGAAGCTCTTTCTGTTTTGTGGGTTGTGGAGTCAAGTGAACGGAGCAAAAGGGAGGAGGAAAAGCCTCAGAAGAGAGATCATGTAGGCCTGGCTGAGTTTTCTAGCTGCTCTTTTCTGTTAAAATGTATTTTGAAACTATCTGTGACACAGTGCATCATGTCAGGACAAAACCTAGGTTACTGATAGGGCCTTGTGCCATTTCTGAGGACTGCAGTGTGCTTGGTAGGTTGCTGTAAAGGGATTTATCGGTAGGAATTTAGGGTGTGTCTCAAAAGTATCTGAAAATAGGGAAGACCATAGTCACTTAGGCTTGGATTTTAAG